GGAGGAGGAGGAGGGGAAGGAGGAGGAGGAGGAGGAGGAGGAGGGGGGGAGGAGGAGGAGAGGAGGAGGAGGAGGAGGAGGAGGAGGAGGAGGAGGAGGAGGAGGAGGAGGAGGAACGCGAGCGGACGGCGTGTCGCTCCGCTTCGCGGGGCGGGAGGTCAGGCGAAGCCAGGACGAGGGCAGCTTTAGGCACCGTCAAGCCTAGGATCAAGGAAGGCATCCATCAAGAAAGCGGGGCCGGCTTGTCAGAAGTGTCGTGAGGAAACGCTGGGCCAGCTTTGGGAGCCAGGAGCGTACGCGATTCATTTCCAGGATCCAAGGCTATCAATCCCCTGAAGAAACTGAGCCAGCTTTCCGGCAAGTTGGTCAAGAAACGCTGGGCCAGCTTTTCGGGGGGAGGTTTCTTAATCATAAGCGTGACCGTATAAGGATAAGGCGAGAATCTCTGGGATCTGGCGGCTCTGGAGGATGTCTCGGGCGCTGCGGCCTTCTCAGAGAGTTCCGGATTGGGGATCTCCTGACCCAGGTCAAGCCAGGCACGGGTCAGTCAGGCCTTGCAGAATCCTGCAAGATCCTGCACCCAAGCCCGGGTCAATGCAATGCGAAGGATCCTGCAAGATCCTGCAGGATCCTGCACCCAAACCCGGGTCAATGCGACCCTGCCCCTGCAGGATCCTGCAAGATCGGGCGCTCTGGCTGACCCCCGTTTGCAGTGACCCCCGTCTCAAGGCTCCCGACCAGAACGCTCTGAGAGCGTTCCGGAACGATCTGGAACGTATGTATCCTCGTCTTAGTCCCGTCCGACGAGGCCTCGGAAAGCTCGGGATGTCAATGCCATGGAATGGGAGCGGGGGCAGCGAGGCGCGCCGGCGAACGTGGTCGTCCAGAGCCGGCGGAGCGACGCGCTCAACCAAAGTTCCTGACCGTATACCCAGGGATCCGATGTTTTGTTTTTTCACTACGGTTAAGTCGGGCATGTCCCTCTATAGGAGGAATATTCGAGAACAGTCAAAAAATAGTCTGGGAATGAGCTTTCGTGCTCGTTTTCGCTATTTCTGAATTTTCTGAAGTCTTCGAATTGGTCCTCCAAAATCCGCCTGTAGGAGGACATGCCCGACCTAACACTTCGGGGCACCAGAAGTCTCGACCCAGTCCCCGGGGCCAGTTCTTCCTCCGGAATCGTTCTTCGACGGCCCCAGGACCCAGCAAAAAACTCTCCAGAGGCCGAAACCGGCGAAAGACCGCCACGATTTTCAATAAGTTTGGTTCACAGTGGTCGGCCTCTCGGGGCCCTTGCTGGGACTCGGGAGCGTCAAAGAACGACTCGCGATGAGAAAACGGTCCTTGGGAAGTTGGTCGAGGGCAAATCGGGGGGGCACGTCTCGGAAAAATCGAGACGCCGAGACGCCCGATGTCTGGGTAGCTGATATTCCAAGGGGGGGGGGGGGGAGAGCGTGGCCCAAGGCCACCGCCACCCCACGCAGGGGAGGAGCGCGGCCCAAGGCCTCGCCGCAGCCCCGAGTTCCAGGCACAGCCATGGGCAAGGGGGCAGGAGGGAGGGGGGGGCGAGGGTGTAGCAATTGTCCTCCTCCGCCCTCTGTATCGTCATCCCTCGTCCTCCCTCCACCTGTTTCCTCCTCCTCCTCCTCCTCCTCCTCCTCCTCCTCCTCCTCCTCCTCTCCTCCGTCCCCTTCCTCCTCCTCCTCCTCCTCCTCCTCCTCCTCCTCCTCCCCTCCTCCTCCTCCTCCTCCTCCTCCTCCTCCTCCTCCTCCTCCTCCTCCTCCCCCTCCTCCTCCTCCTCCTCCTCCTCCTCCTCCTCCTCCTCTCCCTCCTCCTCCTCCTCCTCCTCCTCCTCCTCCTCCTCCTCCTCCTCCTCCTCCTCCTCCTCCTTTTTTCCAGTGGCTCTCGCTTAGCACCCACCAATCTACGACCGAAGGGGCTGCAGAGGGGCCCCCAAACACCACCGACCACCACTACCCAGCACCTGCAGGGCGGAGCCCGAAGGCCAGGACCGCCATGCAGGCACAGGGCAGTGGCCCAGGTGCCTGGCTGCCCCCACACCGCCCGCAGGCAGTGGCAAAGAACGCCCGACAGGGCGAACACAAAGAGAAGATCTAACAACACATCAAAATAGCTTGGTCCACCACTCCGCCTCCTCATGAGGCGCGAGGCTGAGTGGCCAAGGGCTTGTGATATTCTGTCCCCGCGGCCAGGGAAGGTCGCCTCTCAGAAGCTGTCTCCTCTGCTGTGCAAATACTTTACCACAGGGTTTCAGCAGCTGACGAGGGGCCCCAGTACAATACGCCCCACACCTAAGGCACAACACCACTGGCAGAGAAGATTGAACAATTTTGGCGACATGCAGTGTGTGGGGCTTGGGGTTGTCGACCTGATTAATTAAAGACCGCATAGAGGGGGTTAAAGCCGCGCAGGACCCCCTAGGATTCTTAGAATCAAACGCGCGGGCGCACTCGAGGCAACGCCACCTACACCCGTTCCAGCGCACACGATGAGCCCTCAGGCCGCTGGGGAGGACCACGGGCCTGGGGACTCTCGGGGCGCGCTCTAGCTTACCGAAAAGAGATCTTGCCTCTGGAAGGCTGTCTAAAATAGTGCCCATGCCTACTGCCAAGACTTCCCAACTACTCAGAGCCAGCTCGTACTTGACAATGTTCTGGGCCATCTCAGGGTGCATTTTTGCCCCGTCCTTAGCATACTCGTCGGCATAATCGTTTCCACGCTTGTGAACCCGAGCCATACCAATCACTTCATCCCCAACATGAGATTTAACCTTGTTCAACACGAAAGGCGGGCGGGGCGAGGAGTAGAGCACTTTCCAGACTTCACTGAGCGGTGTTCTCCCGCTCGTCGATGCCCTCTGATCTCGAGGGCCTGCAAAAAGGGCCTGGCAATCCACGTTCAGCCTGAACGGCTCGTCCTCACCAGTATGTTCAAAATGCTCCAGGGCCTGAAGCAGAGCGTAGTGCTCGGCGAACACAGCACTCTGCGGCAGGAAACCAGGCAGGTTACCACACACAGCTCTGACGAAGTCCCCTGCGTCGTCTATTTGGATGACGGCCCAGCCCGCACGGGCCACATAAATATGGGTGGGGGAATAGCAACTACCGTCCGAATACAGATTTTCGCACCGGTTGAACGTGAACTTGGTTGTTTCCCCCGACCTGTCGAAATATCGAACCACACCATCCCACAGAGCATCCTGAATGCCCTCGGGCTGGGCGTCCCACAGGCTGGAGTAGAGAGGATCGTCTGGGCCAGCTTCAACAGCTAGCCGAACAACATCGGCACTCAATGCCTCATCTCGCCTGTCAGCGAGTCCTGGACAGGCAAAGCAGCGGTGCCAAACTGTGTCCTCGACTCCTCCCTCTGGGGATCTGCAAAAAGGGCACACTGGAGGCATCTCGTACTTCCAATCATGTAAACGCTTGGCCGTGACATACGACCTGCAGAATATCTCTTTGACAGCTTTTTGAACACCACGATGACGCTTTTTGCTGGCCCAAAGGGACCTCACAGGGTCCGTCCACAGACCACGATGCAAAATATCCAGAGCCCTCGGATGTTCGGAGTCCCTCAGATGCCTGCACATACTCTGGGCCACGTAGGCCTTAGACAAATCTCGTACGAAGTACTTCTCTACCTGCACGAACGGCGTATCTGTCAGCAGCAGCGGGTCCCCGTTGCTCATGTTAAAACTGAGCGGGCCTCGAATCTGCCAGTTCGCCATACCGAGCCAGAGAATCATGTCTCCTATGGGTCCCCAGGACTTCTTGGCCCACGAACTTCTGGAATGTTCCTGGATGTAGTTCTGGACAGCAGACAAAATCTTGGAAAGCTCCCCCACAGACAGCCCATCGCCATGGCGGTGCCCAGGGGTTGATGCCATCCAGACTTCTTTTGCGAAGCGGCGAAGAGTAGCTGCTGCATGCTTGACAGGATCTCTGGTCGGCTCCAGCGAAAGCGCCAAATTTAAATCGGCTCCACAGGAGGTCAATCCAAGAAAACCAGCAGCCTGACTTCGTAGCTTGCGAATCTCTCTCGGCGTCCATCCCACCACCTCCTCCCCATAAGTAGTGGCAGGCTTGACACCGCAGAACCATATTTTCGCCCTGGCACGTTTGGGATTTCGAAGGCTTCGAATTTTCCCCAACCTCCTCCTTCCTTTGGCCCACCTCTCATTACGCTTCTGCTTGGCTTTCCTGACGCTCAAATGCTTGCCTGGCGCGAAGTCGCATCCTAGGTTGACAATCGATGGGTCATAAGTGCCAGCATACTGATCTAAGGCTAGACGGGCCTGAGCTACCAGTTCTGGAGAGGTTCCAGTAATGGCGAACTTCTTCATAGAGAAACGACGGTTAAATAAATTCGATAACCGATCAACCAAGAAAGCTACAGCAAAACCCATATTGATCACACAAAGCTCCAAATCCTCGTTCCTTTCATTGAGACTAAAATCATCCACATGCACAGCCAGTTCGGGATGCAGACGACACTCACAATATTCCGCTACAGTAGGAAGGCAATAACATTTTATCTCATATGTAGCCGTGCTGCTTCCCGCTACGATACCCTGAGCTGGCATAACTGCATCTGCGCACATACCGTCTAGGCTCAGGATCCTCCTCCTCCTCCTCC